CATGCATGCGCCCCCACTGAGGTAAATTCCCGCCAGCACGTCTTTGAAAAAGCGCGCGTAAAAAAAACTTACGCTATTTGAATTTAGCCAATCAGCGTCCTCACATTTAATCCGAAAAGAGCGATTATTTTATTAGCGCATTGATAGCTAACACTTTTTTGAACAAGCAGATTTCAATGTTTAGTGGTCCTCCTGTTGATATTGCACATTTACTTCTGATCTAGATTCTGTACAGAAAAATAGTCTGATCTCTTTGTCAGTCAGGTGATCTCCAAACTCATCAGGCGTTATTGGAGAGCTGTTATCAAACTGAAAACTCTGTTCATTTTTACCAAGGGTGCCAATAATTCTGAAAATAAAAATAAAAGTTTTTGTTTACATAATATATGAGTGTGTACTGTGTATATTTATTATGTATATATAAATACACACACATGCATGTATATATTTAAGAAAAATATGTTAAGTATATTTACATATAATAAAAAATATAAATATATAAATGTATATACATATATACATGCATGTGTGTGTATTTATATATACATAATAAATAAACAGTACACATATATCATGTAAACAAAAACTTATTTTGGATGCAATTAATCGTGATTAATCGTTTGACAGCACTACTTTCTTTATGCATGAACTTATTGGGTTGTGGGTTCAATTGGAGGACATATGTGAAAATGTCTGTTTTTATTTGAAAATGTCTGAGATTATTTTGAGATTATATTACAAAATACTGTAGCCTATATGTAAATATGTATGAAACTAATAAAAATAAATTGAACATCAATAAAATGATTTCTCATTAACAATTTCATTAATTAGGGATCTAAAAAAAGCTCATTTTGTAAATGTTATTTTTATACAAGCGTAAACTGGAATGTTTTTCATGTGTGCTTACGTGTGCACAGTAGTTGTGAATTATTTGGGTTTATCATTTGTTTATCAGCTTTCATTTTGGAGTTTTTTGTTTGTTTGTTTTGTTTTTGTTTGTTTTTGGAAGTTGACATTTTCAAGATTGTTTATTATTTTATTGTTTTAAGATATTTCCCTCTGTTAACTGATTTTCTTAACCGGATTGGCTTTCACCGTGGACGAAGCGGAGTCCAGCCCGGGGTCGTCACATGTGGTTGCCGCAAGCCCGCCGGACGCTCCTTCGTCGAATCCGCCGGCCGCGCCGTTCTCAAGCCCCCCGGCCTCTGCTCACTGTAGGCCGTCGTGTGTGACGCTGTGTTTCGTTGTGAAAGCAAAACTACTTTGTTTGGCCTTCCAAAAACGGACACGACTAGAAATCAGTGGTTAAGTTAATACAACACTGTTCCAGAACAGTTCAACCCAAATATTCAGATGTGTGCAGCAGATTTTATGGAGGACTGTTTCCTGGGAGAGTAGACTACAATGTCGGCTGTTCTGACTCACAGACTGTAAGTAAATTTTTTAGGCGGGGCATAGAGGAGAAACAATAATGTACAGTATGTGGAAAATGTTTTTTTAACTTTAAACCGCATAAACACATTTCATTACACCAAATACACAAAATAATGTTATTTTTAGCAACATCATATGACCCCTTTAATCTTAAAGCAGCGAAAACCGAAGTTCCGATCTGAATCAAATGATTCGCGAACCTGCTCCGAAGTTCCGATCTGAATCAAATTATTCGCGACCCACTCCGAAGTTCCGATCTGAATCAAATGATTCGCGAACCTGCTCCGAAGTTCCGATCTGAATCAAATTATTCGCGACCCACTCCGAAGTTCTGATCTGAATCAAATGATTTGCGACCCGTTCCGAAGTTCCGATCTAAATCAAATGATTCGCGAACCTGCTCAGAAGTTCCTATCTGAATCAAATGATTCGCGAACCTGCTCCGAAGTTCCGATCTGAATCAAATGATTCGCGACTTGCTCCGAAGTTCCGATCTAAATCAAATTATTCGCGACCCACTCCAAAGTTCTGATCTGAATCAAATGATTTGCGACCCGCTCCGAAGTTCCGATCTGAATCAAATGATTCGCGACCCGCTCCGAAGTTCCGATCTGAATCAAATGATTTGCGAACTCACTCCGAAGTTCCGATCTGAATCAAAAGATTCACGATACACGATCCGATTGGAACACTTTGAAATAGTGAATCATTTTGTGATGCAATGGTTTAATTGATTCGGAGTTTCGAAATGCCCCTTTTCACCCATCATTACGTGCTTTTTAAAATCATTACAAGCGATGTCGAGATTCGAAACTGCATGGCTCTTTTGAACTGGTTTTTGCTAGTGAATAACTTGAACAGAATGATCTAAGTCAGGAGTTTGAGTTTGAATCTCGGAGCAGTTCCAGCATAAATGACTCACTCAAATGAATCGGTTTGTCGGTTCCTCTGCTTTTCATGCTTTCATCCATGTTTATATGACACTGTCAGTACTGCTAGCTCGCTAGTTTTATCAGATTAACTGAAATAAGCAAAAAGGTACGATATTTACAAATAAAATATCCATATTTCCATTTTAAAGATAACATCCAAACACAAATCTAGGAACATATTCAGGTGAGGTGGTTTACTGCTAACTAGTGAAACACTCCATTAATATGACGAGCTGCAACTCATGGAAACATTGTGCATTATGATCGAATCTTTTAAATCTTTTTTAAAATTTTTATCTAGCCTAATTATTTTATTTTTCGCTACGTAAATGAAAGATTCTATTTGGATCATAATCAACATCCTATTTGGATCATACTGTTTTGTTTTATTTTTATTTGTTTACATGCGTGTACACATTATTGTTTCCATAACTATTTAATTAAATTAACATGGTATAGATAGATAGACAGATAGATAGACAGACAGACGGATAGATAGATAGATAGATAGATAGATAGATAGATACAGACGGATAGATAGATAGACAGATAGATAGATAGATAGATAGATAGATAGATAGACAGACAGATAGACAGACAGATAGACGGATAGATAGATAGATAGACAGATAGATGATAGATGATAGATAGATAGATAGATAGATAAATAGACAGATAGATAGATAGATAGATAGATAATGAAAATAGACCTTTCTTTATCTTTTCCAGCTTTTATTTCATTTGTCATCTTATTATTTTATTTTCCGATATGTAAATTAATCTGATTTCTGATATCTGGCGTGTCTGTTCTTAATCTCCCTTCAAATGTTTATTAATTTGTTTATACATCTATTTTTGTGTTGATTTTGCCCTGTTCTTGTCATGAAAATAGGATATTTTCTGAATAATCTTTTGAAAGATATTTATTTTTTAATCTAATTATTTGTTCTATTTGTTTATCTTTAATCTCACTTTAAACGTGTGTTAATTTGAATCATTTGATTGCAGGACTTTATGTAGAATGATTCTGAAAAAAAATGTAACATTCTTTCTTTTTCTTTGCTTTTGCACAGTAACCATAGGCCTACTGAACATGATCTTCTGGAATGTTTTTCGTGTGTGCTTACGTGTGCACACTATGGTGAATTATATGGGTAGGTCATTTGGTTATTAGGTGATATTTCCCTCTGTTAACTGATTTTCTTAACCCCCCCTCCCCCTTCACACTATTAGAAACTTTGATTAAAAATGTTGTTCAGTATTTATATAAACTGATTATTTACCTTATTTTTAAAATTTTTTTTAGATGAATCCTAGATTATTGACATAAAACGTCAAACCCCACTGTAATACAGAATACAGTGCATAAGTTTGCACCCCCCTCAGCATCTGCAAGGTGTTTATGATTTTGTTTTTTAGAGGGATCATAAAAATTGCATTTTATTGTCGTTGTTTAGTGCTGTGCATTCCAACTGACACACATTCTGAAATCCTTTTGGTTCTTCTGATAGTGTGTGTGTATCTTGTATTATAGTGGTTATTATTGTTATTATTTTGTGATAGTCGTTCATGAGTTCCTGCACATTCTTTGGTTTTCCAGCTTATTCTGCATATTTGAATCCTTTCCAGAAGTGACTGTGTGACTTTGAGATCATGTTTTCACACCGAGGACCATTGAAAGACTCAAACACAACTAAAAGCTGCAAACATTTACTGACGCTCAAGACGACTTTTGTGCACGAGGATAAGTGCAAATTGTTATTTTGTCTTGTGACAAATATGTGGTTTCAGAAAAGCGGTACCAAATAAAACATCTCGTTTTATATTTATATAAATATAAATAAGAGACCCAAAAGGAGTATGCAACCTTATGCACTCTGTATCCACTTTTGTTCTTTCTAAGGCGCCTACTGCGTTTTAAATTATGGGAGGCACTTCCGGTTTGAGGAAGTTCCACTCAAAAAGACTGGAACAAATCATTTCAAATCAAAAGATTGCGCTACAAACAATGCTTATCCGTCATGTTACGTTTGGTGTATTAATGTGATATAACAACAGTACCTATACCGCTCAGCTCACTGATTATTTCCATGTTTCCTTTGTATTCCAATGTAAGTAAATTAAAAAAGACAACATATGTGCATTTGTATTCTGCTCTCCCGGTTTAGTTTATGATATAAACCATGAATAATTTCTCTCTTTCCAGGTTTGTTTTTTTCACACGGATGTTGTAAAATGCTATTGTTACGAAATGCAGACATGTAATAGCTGCTATAATGATATTTAACACGTCCGTAATTTGGCTGCAGATTGAAGGAGGATCTTTAGGAGTTATTCGCGGTATGCTGGATGTAATTTGTTAATTAAATTTCCTTTCAATGATCGATTAATATGTCTATGCTTGTGACAACTAGCCCCGTTGAGAGATCACGTGACGCCGCTGCTGTCCGCGGTGCTGAAATCCTCCGGATCCGCTCAGAAACCGCCTCTCGCGTCTTTCCGAAGCGAAAAATACCGACTAGCGATGATTCATTGGTTCACATCTGATTGTGATTCTCGTCCTCCGCGCGCGCTGAGGGCGGGTCGTGTGACGTCACGCGTGACGACATCCTCGGACCAGACACTCGGCGAGTCCGCGCGACAGTAACGGATATTTGCGCCTCAAAACACCGATAAAACCGTCACTTGACGCCGAACGGATAAAGCGCGGAGATGTCTGTGGCGGGGCTGAAGAAGCAGTTTCACAAAGCGACGCAGGTAAGAGCGGAATCCGTCCGTTTTTTCGCGGTGCTGGTGACGCGATGCGAAAGCGTCAGTCCGTTTGAGACCCGGTTCACACAACGAGTTCGGTCCAGAAACCGACGCTTAACGTCTGCGGACAGACGGTGAACGGGCTTGTTTATGAATGTATGAAAACAGCGCGAGACCTGCGGGGGACCGGACGCCGTCACGTGACCCCAGATACGGAGCGATGCTCACCTGAGGAGAAAGCTAGGGACAGATTTAACAGGTTTTTTGGTTTAATTCAGCTTCTGTATAGACGAAAACCGTACTGTCTTCTTGAATATAAAACGTTGTAGTTTCCCTTATTGAATATTCACATGATTATTGTACAGGGAAGAACAGTGACCCCCGTAGCGGGGCATGTTGTCACAATGGTAGCCTGAGTCGAGAATTTATGATATGAAGAAAACTCTATGTGTGTGTGTGTGTACATATAAGTGACCCTGCAGCACAAAAGCAGTGTTAAGTCGCTGGGGTATATTTGTAGCAATAACCAACAATACAGTGTATGGGTCAAAATTATACATTTTTTTTTACGCCAAAAATCATTAGGATATTAAGTAAAGATCATGTTCCATGAAGATATTTTGTAAGTTTCCTACCGTAAATATATCAAAACTTAATGTTTGATTAGTAGTATGCATTGCTAAGAACTTCATTTGAACAACTTTAAAGATGATTTTCTCAATATTTAGATTTTTTTGCACCCTCAGATTCCAGATTTTCAAATAGTTGTATCTCAGCCAAATATTGTCCGATCCTAACAAACCATACATCAATGGAAAGATTATTTATTCAGCTTTCAGCTGATGTATAAATCTCAATTTCGAAAAATGGACAATTATGACTGGTTTTGTGCTCCAGGGTCACATATATTTAACATGGTTTTGTAATTTAGGAAAAATTATTAAATTGATAAATTTTACATTTCTTAAAATTAATTTTAAAAATAACCTTTTTTAAAGAGAATTTTGAGCTTGGAATGAACATACAATATTTTTGTATTATTTTTACATTTTTTATTTTTATTTTTTTTTAAATCTGTAAAAAAAAATAAATGCTGTAATATTGCAAAAAAAAAAGCTTTATAAACTTGTTTTTCAGAAATCGCTAGTACATTTTACAGTTAATTATAAAGAAATGGCAAGTAACACATTGAACTAAACATGAAATTTTGAAGTAGAAAGACTGAAATAGATTTTTCCCAGCAAAACTTACTCCAATAATCTACAATACTTTTACAGTGTAGTGAAAACAAGAATTTATCCCTTTTTTTGTATTGCCTATCAGTTGCCTATCACACACACGCTGGTACGAGACTCGAACCTGCAACCTTTGGGTTACGAGTCTGATAAATTTTCCAGCATTATATGAGGCGTGTTGTAATAATACATTATTGATAATGCATACATTCAGTTGTGAGTGTATTTATCTGTGTGTGTTTGTGCATGTGTCTAAAATAGCTCGGCTCGCCTGACATAAACGCCTCCCGCCAACCGGAAATAGAAATGTGAATCAATTCTCTGTCCTTACTGCACACTCACTCACACACTCACTCACTCACTCTCTCACACACACACTCTCTCACACACACACTCTCTCACACACACACTCTCTCACACACACACTCTCTCACACACACACTCTCTCACACACACACTCTCTCACACACACACTCTCTCACACACACACTCTCTCACACACACACTCTCTCACACACACACTCTCTCACACACACACTCTCTCACACACACACTCTCTCACACACACACTCTCTCACACACACACTCTCTCACACACACACTCTCTCACACACACACTCTCTCACACACACACTCTCTCACACACACACTCTCTCACACACACACTCTCACACACACATCGACAGGAATCAATACTCAGGGAACAGCAACAATGTCATCCACTGATGCGTGTGTTTGTGCTCTGCTGGTTAGTTCAGTCTTCACTGGTAATTAAAGTTGCAGTGATAATGAATTTTAAATGTTGATTTCAACAGACAAACAATAGAGGAATCAGCAGCAGAGAGAACTGAGGGATCTCTACGACTGACAAGAGTCTAGAATCACTCGTGATGCTGTGAGATCTGGACAGATTAGTGTGTGAAACTGGATGCTTGCACACATCACGTGTGTCTGGAGCCTCACACACTCACTCACTCACACTCTCACACACACACACACGCACACACACTCACTCACACACACACACACTCTCACACACACACACACACGTACACACATCACACTGTGTGTGTGAGTGTGTGAGAGTGTGTGTGTGAGAGTGTGTGTGTGTGTGTGATTTCATGTTTGATCGATCAAGACAAGATGACGTTGTTTGTTAATGAACATTTAATCAACATTATAGGAAGATTATATTAAATTACATTTCAATATTGATTACGTTTATAGTAATATTTATACTACTTTAATATTTTACAATACTGAAATGATTGAATTTATTATTAAAGGGGTCATATGATGCGATTTCAATTTTTCCTTTCTCTTTGGAGTGTTACAAGCTCTTGTTTTAGCAACATCATATGACCCCTTTAATTTAATTTAATTTATATAAATACATTAATACTATTAGGGCAAGTGAAAGAACTGAGGTATTTAAGTAATGTGTTTAAAATTGTTGTCTTTTCTGTACATTGTGTTTACAAAACGAAATGATGTCACAGAAAATGTGTTGATGAACATTATAGGAACGTTATATTAAATCGTGATTAATTATTTCATTATTAATATTAATTTGTTATTTAATTTGTAGAAATACTAATAGGACAACTAAAACAGAATTCAAGTTTAGGAGGACCAATATTTATACAAATATAAGTATATGATTAATATTTATTATTCTTATTATTAAGTTTATTGATGATGATACTATACTATTATATGATATTATTTTATTTTATGAAGCATTGAGATATCAATATTTAGTTAGTGAATTTTAAAATAGTGTGAATGTGTTATTTGCCATTTCTTTAATTGTAAAATAGACTTTTGTACAATTTGTAAAAAAAAAAATCTGTCTTAAAACTGTCTTTAAAATTGACAATTTTTGTGAATTCTTATAAACTAAAATTCCAAAACTATATATATACATATATGTAGTTTTGGAACATATAATTACATAATTAATAATTATTATTACATAATTAAACTGTCCAGAATACAATAATACACAATATGCTGAAGTTGTGATTATGAACAGATTCATAAACATGCTTCATAAACATCTCAGAAGTTGAAAGCAGCATCTGAGTGGAGAGTAGAGAGATAAATAATTCATGCTCAGACTAAACCTGCAGCACCACACATCTTTAATTTATACTGGACACACACACACACTCACACTCACTCTCACACACACACACTCACTCACTCGCACACACACACTCTCACACTCACTCACACACTCTCTCACACACACACTCTCACACTCACTCACACACTCTCTCACACACACACTCTCACACTCACTCACACACTCTCTCACACACACACTCTCACACTCACTCACACACTCTCTCACACACACACTCTCACACTCACTCACACACTCTCTCACACACACACTCTCACACTCACTCACACACTCTCTCACACACACACTCTCACACTCACTCACACACTCTCTCACACACACACTCTCACACTCACTCACACACTCTCTCACACACACACTCTCACACTCACTCACACACTCTCTCACACACACACTCTCACACTCACTCACACACTCTCTCACACACACACTCTCACACTCACTCACACACTCTCTCACACACACACTCTCACACTCACTCACACACTCTCTCACACACACACTCTCACACTCACTCACACACTCTCTCACACACACACTCTCACACTCACTCACACACTCTCTCACACACACACTCTCACACTCACTCACACACTCTCTCACACACACACTCTCACACTCACTCACACACTCTCTCACACACACACTCTCACACTCACTCACACACTCTCTCACACACACACTCTCACACTCACTCACACACTCTCTCACACACACACTCTCACACTCACTCACACACTCTCTCACACACACACTCTCACACTCACTCACACACTCTCTCACACACACACTCTCACACTCACTCACACACTCTCTCACACACACACTCTCACACTCACTCACACACTCTCTCACACACACACTCTCACACTCACTCACACACTCTCTCACACACACACTCTCACACTCACTCACACACTCTCTCACACACACACTCTCACACTCACTCACACACTCTCTCACACACACACTCTCACACTCACTCACACACTCTCTCACACACACACTCTCACACTCACTCACACACTCTCTCACACACACACTCTCACACTCACTCACACACTCTCTCACACACACACTCTCACACTCACTCACACACTCTCTCACACACACACTCTCACACTCACTCACACACTCTCTCACACACACACTCTCACACTCACTCACACACTCTCTCACACACACACTCTCACACTCACTCACACACTCTCTCACACACACACTCTCACACTCACTCACACACTCTCTCACACACACACTCTCACACTCACTCACACACTCTCTCACACACACACTCTCACACTCACTCACACACTCTCTCACACACACACTCTCACACTCACTCACACACTCTCTCACACACACACTCTCACACTCACTCACACACTCTCTCACACACACACTCTCACACTCACTCACACACTCTCTCACACACACACTCTCACACTCACTCACACACTCTCTCACACACACACTCTCACACTCACTCACACACTCTCTCACACACACACTCTCACACTCACTCACACACTCTCTCACACACACACTCTCACACTCACTCACACACTCTCTCACACACACACTCTCACACTCACTCACACACTCTCTCACACACACACTCTCACACTCACTCACACACTCTCTCACACACACACTCTCACACTCACTCACACACTCTCTCACACACACACTCTCACACTCACTCACACACTCTCTCACACACACACTCTCACACTCACTCACACACTCTCTCACACACACACTCTCACACTCACTCACACACTCTCTCACACACACACTCTCACACTCACTCACACACTCTCTCACACACACACTCTCACACTCACTCACACACTCTCTCACACACACACTCTCACACTCACTCACACACTCTCTCACACACACACTCTCACACTCACTCACACACTCTCTCACACACACACTCTCACACTCACTCACACACTCTCTCACACACACACTCTCACACTCACTCACACACTCTCTCACACACACACTCTCACACTCACTCACACACTCTCTCACACACACACTCTCACACTCACTCACACACTCTCTCACACACACACTCTCACACTCACTCACACACTCTCTCACACACACACTCTCACACTCACTCACACACTCTCTCACACACACACTCTCACACTCACTCACACACTCTCTCACACACACACTCTCACACTCACTCACACACTCTCTCACACACACACTCTCACACTCACTCACACACTCTCTCACACACACACTCTCACACTCACTCACACACTCTCTCACACACACACTCTCACACTCACTCACACACTCTCTCACACACACACTCTCACACTCACTCACACACTCTCTCACACACACACTCTCACACTCACTCACACACTCTCTCACACACACACTCTCACACTCACTCACACACTCTCTCACACACACACTCTCACACTCACTCACACACTCTCTCACACACACACTCTCACACTCACTCACACACTCTCTCACACACACACTCTCACACTCACTCACACACTCTCTCACACACACACTCTCACACTCACTCACACACTCTCTCACACACACACTCTCACACTCACTCACACACTCTCTCACACACACACTCTCACACTCACTCACACACTCTCTCACACACACACTCTCACACTCACTCACACACTCTCTCACACACACACTCTCACACTCACTCACACACTCTCTCACACACACACTCTCACACTCACTCACACACTCTCTCACACACACACTCTCACACTCACTCACACACTCTCTCACACACACACTCTCACACTCACTCACACACTCTCTCACACACACACTCTCACACTCACTCACACACTCTCTCACACACACACACACTCTCACACACACTCACAGAGCTTCATCTGAACGTTTGGATGGACTAATAGAGTGTCTCTGTGTTCGTTTCGTGTCAGTCTGATTACATAACGGCCGTTTGTACCAGTCAGACTGATGACTGATGGATTGATCTGACGATCCGTGCATGAGAGATAGAGAGAAAGAGAGAGAGAGAGAGAGAGAGAGAGAGAGAGAGGTGTAGTCATGTGTACATTAGACTCCTGCAGAAACACTAAAGACTATCAAGAAATTTCACCCAAAAAATCATCATTCACTCCTGATGTCATTCAAACCTGTTTGACTTTGTTCTGTGGAACATAAAAGAAGATGTTTTGAATGATGTCCAACAACGTAAAACACACACACATTTACTGAAAACATTATTTTTGAAGCAGTTATGTTTATTTAAAAAACAAATGTTTATAACATGTCACTACATAAGAACATTTGGAGTGTGAGTGCATTAGACAACCAAACGTCGAAGTATTGTGAAGTTATGTTTATTTCTATTTAATTTCATTTATTTTATTTCATTTTTAGTTACCTGAATTCATTATTTTTTTTATTTCAGTTAGTTGCCAAGGCAACATTTCTGTTTTTTTTTTTTTAAGTTTCAGTTATCATAGGCCTGTGTGTCCCATATTACGCCAAATAGAAGCAGAAAATCGTGCTATACGCGTGTGTTTTACCATTTTGTTGAGTTTAAAACGTGTGACACTTTAACAAAAAAGGAACGTCAAGGTTGATCTAGGAAAATGTGTGAAAATGTATAGGGCCCCATTCCTATATTTTGCCTGGGGCCCCCAATTCACTAAATCCGGCCCTGCATATTTTATTAATTTCAGCTTTTCAATAATTCCAACTTATTCATTTAGACTTCAGTTTTTTCACTTTTTGATTTTTCTCTCTTTGCTTTTAGCCACAGAACCTCAGAATTCCTAACAGTGTTGGCTTACTGCTGAGTTAATTAATTGACTGACGAGGTTAGTCTGTGTAAACGTGTAAATGTCACTCAGCAGGCCGTTTCTGTGTGTTTTCTTCAGAACTGAACTCGAGAAAACCTTTCTCAAAAAGTCCAATCTCACGTTTGATTTTTTCCCCAAAAATTCATTGTTTTATTTTTTTCTGGATTCTGTTTTAATGGTAAATTAAGTTTTAGTAATCAAAAACAAAAAGTATGTCTAATCAATTGAAATCATGAAACAGTGTATTAAAAATAATGTATTACTTTTTTAACAATAATAGGAATCTATGAAATATAAAAAATTTTACATTTCAATGTAAAAAAATTTTTTTTCTGAATTTATGATACTTTGAGAAGTACATTCTACTGTACACTAGTAAAATATTATAGGCCCTTATGAAATCTGTTTTATTTTTTTCCCCAAATTCCATTGCATTTTTTGTTTTAATTTTATGGATTTGGACTTTAAGGTTTTTTTTCTTTTTTCTGGAATTTGTTTTATATGGTTAAATAAAATTGGAGTAATTTAAAAAAACTTATACAGTTTATCAACCGTTCATTTAAAATTTAACAAAAATATTTTTAGGTCCCTATAAAATTCGTTTTTTTTTTTTTTTTTTTTTTTTTTTGGTTCACAAAAAAAGATTACATTTTAATGATTTAATTAAATCGTTAAATCAAAAAGCATGTCTATCAATTAAAATATAATATTGTTTTACTTGTTTTTTTTTGTTTTTTTACAGTAGTAGGGTACTATGAAATATATATATTTTTTCCAGAAATCTGTTTATTTACTCATTTATTTTGGATTTATGATTTAATACAACTTTGTGCTCATTCATATCCATATTTCATAGCAGTCTTTTTGTGTTTAAAATATCACAAACTCAAGTCCATTTTATCATTTGATTAAGTGTACAGCCCTACTTTTGATTTATTCATACAAAAATTGCCTAATTCTGTGACTTTCAGCATTTTACTGTAAATTGCCTGTATATGACTGGATTAATAAAAGTGGAGTTATAAACGCAGATGATGACAGATGGGGGTTATACGTCTCTATTTTCTGTCTAATGGTATCATCAGGTCGCTGTTGCTATGGAAACTGGCTCTCGCGCATCACTTTCACAATCCTCACATGATATTCAGAGCAAGAGCTTCCTCCACTTCATATACACACACACTGAATGATTAATGTCCGCAGAGCGACTGCAAGCCCTACACAATACTGTTTATGAATAACTCGTGTCTTTGAGCAGGTTTGATCACATTTATCTTCTGTGCTGTGAGGTCACGCTCTGCTGTTCTTCTGGAGATGTTTGGTTCTCTTGAGAAAAACAAGTAAACAGCCCATAATTACTAGTGAAGCATCTGCAGTTTACAATCATCCAATGCACGACCCACACACTGCAGAAACTCTGCTCTTACTCAGTATGTGTGACTTGCTTTGCTGTATAAATGTCTTCTGAAGATTCTTATTATATATATATACTGTATATACTACACACACACACACACACACACATATAAGCAAAATGACTTAAGATATTCAAAATGAAGTGACTTTATGTTTAAAGCAAGAACAAATATCTGTCTAAGGCATCAGAAAAAAAAAAGTTTTTCCTTTAAATTCTGTTTGTTTTTCTGACCTCATAGGTATATTTTTCTTGTTTTAATCATTAACTTTTAAAAAAAGTTCAGAAAACAAGAGTTAATATCTTACATAATTTTGCCTCTCCAGTAAATGCATCTTAATTTAAGAATTTGTAGATGTTTGTACTGGAAAACAAGACAAGAATACTGAGGAAGAACATCATTTTTTGGGGGAGTTTATTCACAACAGTGAGATTGTGATTGTGTGTGTATTCATTTGTGGGTTTTCTGACCTGTAGAAAGTCAGTGAGAAGGTCGGAGGAGCTGAAGGCACCAAACTGGACGATGATTTCAAAGAAATGGAAAAGGTATGATCGCACACACACACACTCACTCACACACTCACTCGCTAGCTCGCTCGCTCACTCACTCACTCACTCACTCACTCACACACACTCTCACACACACACACACACACAGGTTTGTTTTTGTGAAAAGTGGGGACATCCCATAGGCGTAATGGTTTTTCTACTGTACAGACCGTATATTCTATTGCCCTACACCAACCCTACCCCTAAACCTACCCCTCAACCCAAACCTTAAAACACAATTTAATTAATGAACTTGTGTGTGTTTGTGTGCAGAAAGTGGACGTTACGAGCAGAGCAGTGCTCGACATCATGACTAAAACCACAGAATACCTGCAGCCAAACCCTGGTGAGAGTGTGTGTGTGTGTGTGTGTGTGTGAGAGAGAGAGAGTGTGTGTGAGAGAG